TTTTATCAAGTGGCACGTATTCGTATGGGTGATTGGAAAATAGAAGACATTTTTAAACCAAATACTAAATCCTCTGCAATAATTGTCCGCTGAGGATTGTGAAAGTGCATTTTTTTATCTTCAGCTTCGTCTATATTGTCATCATATTCATGAAAGTTATCATCGAATGGATCAATATTTTGTTCAACCTATATTAAAATATGTTCTCTTAGAAAATCATTCAAAATCTTTAAAATAATACATACATCGTCTCCTGGATCAGTCATTTCGGGTTTTTGAAAAATGAAAAATTCAATCTAAACAAGTATTGAAATCTGACATTAGTAATGCAAAATTCTCTTAAATTGAATAATAAAAGAACAATTTTCTTAAAAAAAACTACATTAAAGATCGACTTATATCTCTCTCTAATAGAATTGCTTTCTAATAGCCTACAAACGGATACAATTTATATAATATTTAGAAAGAAATGTGAAAATTCAGTTGCCTTATGCAAAAAAAAAACGATATCGAATGTGTCAAATAAGTTCTTTTTCATAGATTGAAAGAGTCTTATGCCGAGACATTAATTTTAGAGATGTATATTTGGTTCGATGGTAGTTCAATTGGATTTCTTGTCTGTCCGAAGTTTGGTGAAAGCACGAACTTTTAATTTGTAGACAGATACAAGATGTTCACTAATATTGTTGAAACGTTTTATCATAATATCGAACATAACTTTAGTTAATATTCTATCGGATAGATGTGTAGATTCATTTTCTTTTAGTTTATTCATTGCATTATTAAACTGTAATCGATATTGATTTGCTCGAAATTCAGCAGCTTCAACATAAACCTGCATCATATCAACTTTTGTTCGTTGTAAAATTTTATCATATCGACCTTTTAGAGATTGAGCTGTCTCCGTATCCATTATTTTATGTATTGGAGTAGGTATCGATATGTCGAGTTTATCAAATGATGTTGGTAGATGATTATGAGTGATACGCTGTTTTAATAGAGCAAGTTCTAGTTTTGATTTCTCCATATCAAATTTCTTTTGTGTAAGATATTGAAATAGTTGTTTCTAAATAGAAGAAGATAACTAAGAAATATAATGTTTTATACTGTTCCAAAATTTACTTGATACACATTTGAATTTTCACTGTAAAATTCAAGTTCGGATAATCGATCAAAGAAATCATATTCAATACGGATGATTTCTTTTTCAATAGGTATTTGATATAGAATAATCTTATAGTCTTGAACAAATTTCGTAATAGTTTCTTCAATTCTACTTGTCCAGCGATTGCGTAAATGTCGCTTTTTTCTCTTCCAATTGATTTTGGTAGTCGGACATTTTAATTCTATATTTCTCTAGAATTTTCTCTACGTATTTTACACATTCATCCTGATAGATTTCGTTCGGATGCGAGGCTTTCCTTTGATTTTCTGCAATCATTTTTAATTTCAGCTCGATAGGCCACAATAGTAGCGACGGTTCTTTATTTTGTACTAATGTACCCTGACCAGAACGTCAATATGTCGTATAAAGATGTTTTTCTAATTTAATACGTTGAAGTTGATTAATGAGAAATGCAATAGCTCGTAATTCTTCCGTATAAATAATAGTGCCAGTTTGTTGACGGAGACCGAGGATCATCCGATCGAATTCTTTACTTTCATGTGATAAATATTTTGGTATCAATTGACTGGAGATGACGACGTTATCTGTTTTTATTCGCGATAGTACATTGGCTGCTCGAGTAGTACTTTCGGATTTTTGATGTGTAGCCGATAGGTGGCTTAACTTTCCAGATAAATATTGTTGTTTTTCTTGTTCACCAACTGTTAAACCAAGTAAAATCTGATCTACCTCTAGACATTGCTCAATGTCAAATATATCATCGTCATATTCTTTCACAAATCGCCTACGTCTCTTATCAAATTGAATATTTGTTTCGTCATCTGTATCAAAATCATCATGAAATTCTTGAAAAATATCTTCAATCTAAAATACAAATGACACTTATGTATTTTTCTAATTGAATATGGTTCTACTTACATTTCCTTGTGCTAGACTCATCCCCTGATACAAGCACAGAAAAATCTTTAAAATGATATAAATATCTACAAATATCGAGACAAGAAGAAGTGATTCTATTTTAATAGGTTTGAAATTAACAAAAAAGGCATGAAATAAGAAAAGTCTATAATGTTTATTAAGAAGACCAGTGTCCTTCTTGTCAGATAGTTTATAATTACATATAATAGGGGTGTGGGTATGGGTGTGTATAAAATTTATTTAATAGCACAAGCTACTTACGATCGGTTTCGACCTTGCTTAAGGGTCTTCATCAGGTAAGTTCGGCTATTAAATTTTTAAAATGCTGCAATTCAATCCGAACTTCAAATATATTTGAGCTAATTGACGTGTAGATTTTAATTTTTGGAGCATTGCCTAACCATTTGTAAGTTTTATGGCCATCATGAACTGATTTTGATAATATTTTTTTAAATTTTCGTTTCGATACTTTCAAATATTGAGATATGAATGTGGACTTAAAATTTTTTGTTGATATCTTCAGTTGATCATTCAGTTCACGTATCATTTTTGATGAAACACTGTTGGACTGGACATTTTTCTTTCTCTTTTTTGAACATCCTTGTGAAATCGACAATCGACTCCGTGATTGACTTAAATGTCTCTCAATTTTTGTCGATGTATTGTGTTTATGCTTCTTGGAATTGGCCTTAGGAATGATATTATTGAATGGAAGTTTCTAAACATAATAGAACAAGAAGATCATCAATACTATCATATTTTTTTTGTCTTCTAATCATTCTTCTTACCATTATTGGTTCGTCGTCTGGCATGCTGATGGTTTGATCATCAATTTGGTTTATTTCCATTGTTTTCTCATGAACAATCTGTTGTTGTTGTTGTTTTCTTTCAAGTCTTGCTTGTAGTAACAACGCCTTGGTCTCATCATCCAACTTTCGTCGATTTAATCTTCGTCGTAAATGTTGATCTGCTCGATTACCACGACTTGGGTGTGGGTGTGGGTGTGGGGTGTGGGTGTGGGTGTGGGTGTGGGTGTGGGTGTGGGTGTGGGGTGTGGGGTGTGGGTGTGGGTGTGGGTGTAGGTCCATATAAGACCTATCTCCACACCCACACTCACCCACGCCCACACCTACACCCCTACGCACACCCACACCCCATACCTACACCCACACCCCACACCCACACCCACACCCACACCCCATATCCACACCCCATATCCACACCCACCCACACCCACACCCTATTAAAATTTTACCCATGATTTGATCGATCGTTATTATGTATATCAATTTTCTTTTTTTTTCAGAAAAACACAGAGAAGAAAATTTGTTATTTTCTTTATGTAAACATTTTTCTTTCTTCTCTAAATTTTACTTCATATAACCATGATCAAACTATTTTTTCTTGTTAACATCACATTGTTTTCATAATCTATTTGTTTTTGAATGTTTCTCTCTCCATTGTATATTTTTCTTTTTCAACTACAACTAATTATTTTTATTTTACAAGTATACTGTTATTCGAATCATCATCATACATGTTCGTATTTTTCTTTCCTACGAAAGGAAATCGTGTCTTTTTACGTCTAACAAACGTCATTTCAACCTACAGAAGAATAACTGATCAACCAATGAAAAAAAATTTTTGTGTATCTAGTGTACTGAAAATGGTGTGACTAAGTTAAATGAAATGTTTCACATGGAAATCAATCTACCAGTTTCAATTCTTCCTTTTCAACAAATGACATAGTCCAAAATCGATCAACAACTGAACTAGATATCCAAATAGGCCACTAAGCCTGTACTTTTTCCACATGATGAAATTTAATCTCATAAATTGAAGGTGTTGTTGGAATTCAAATGTAGTGAAGCAAATTTATTAGAGAACTGAATAATTATTCTATCATGATAGTGATTAGATGACTTTAAAGCTAATTCTGACTCTTAAGTCTTATCACTTGTTTGTATTGGGTATGAATATGAATATATGTGTCGTTTTAGAGAGAAAGAACACACACTCTCAAGATAGCAAGTTAATCGAGAAATGCCAATTAAATATTAATAGCACCAGGTAGATCAAGTACTGCACCACAAATATTTGATACACATGAATTACAATGCATTCCTTCCATACGTAATTGAGCTCGAACTGATTTTGAATTTATTGATTTTACAGAATGACCAAGTCGTTGTATTATTGATAGAAGTGCATATTGATCAACTTTATTGGCATCAAAAGAAATTTCAGCTTGATTATCATCATCAATAAATTTTACATGGTATGAGACGATCAATGCATTCACATAATCATTTTGATACGTATTTATGATTAACTTTATGTACTTTTCCTAAAAGTACTTGAATATGTGATATTTGTGATTCTTTTGTGGAGGTTAAAGGCGTTAAATAATATATGAAAGATAATATTTCAATAAGAAAAATAAAACAAACTTTGTTGATCCATTTCTCATGTGTCATTAAATATTTTTCGTTATACTTTCGAAAGAGGTATATTTAGTCGATTTTCTTTACATCAATACAAATCAAAACGTACATCCACACTCACACCCAAGCATCGCTATGATTTTTATTGTAAACAGACTCGCGAATCCATTTAAGCGACTAGCAAGCTAGTATCAATTTTGCAATATGTTTCGACAAGCAGTAGTACAAAAATAGTGAAAAACTAAATGAAAAAGTCCTAAGCACTTTTTTAACGAAAACTTGAACTTGTAAATGTACTTGAATGAAGGTTATCAAAAGGATTCGATATAGTCAAATATTTCAGCGAGAACAATCTTCTTTCGTCACGAATTCCAACAAAATCTAGTGTCGTAGGAAATTCGTGTACGCAATTAAGATCACTCCATTCTGATGGAAATAAATTTGGAAATGCCCAAGAACATATTAGTTTTAGTGGACACTGATACGGGTGTGGGTCTCGGTGTTGGTTAGACCTCGTCGGGTCCAGGATTTTCGGATCCGGACCCGGACCCGATCATTTAAAATTTTTCTACCCGGACCCGTTTACAGTTTGCTGGACCCTGATCCGGACCCGACCCGAACTCGATCGCTTAAATTTTTTGAATTCAAACACAATGACAAGTCAGTTTAGACAGTATAGTCAAGAAGGGTTTTGTTGTTTTTTATCTATTACCTACACCCACACCCAATAATGACAAAAATATCGTTTATTACAATATCAAATTGAATTAAATGTTATTGCTATGAAGCAATCTATACCTGATATAAATTATTCTAACAATAATACAATAATATATTTATCAAAAAAATCATAATAATTTATTAAAATCACATTTTATTGATATACATTTATGGCCTATTGATCGTGGAATGTTAGAATGTTCATTATCAATAATAATTAAGTTAAATACACAAACAACATATGAACAATTTATAATATATAGTTTACCATTAATACGTGAATACTTATCCGATATAATTGGTGTTAATATACGTCATGTACATATATATACATTTGTTTTAAAAAATCAACAACAAATTGAATTACTTATTGCTATAATACGTTATCCATCACGTTTAAGACCACTACGTTATATACATAAAAAAAGCACTTTATAATGCATTAATAAATGTAACAAATTTATTCGAAAAAATTTTAAGTATAAAATCAATTGGGGAGGGAAAAAAAACAAAAAATTATTAATCAAGGTAATTTAAAATCATGTGAAAATAATGGTCGTTGTACAAGCCATATTAAGTTAATTAATCATCAATATGAATATTGTTAATATAAAACATATCAACGTTTAATACCTAAATATCAATGGAATATTAAATGTGTATGTTTAAATCATGATTATGGACAACGTTGTCAATATAAATAAAATTATCAATCACCATGTTCATCAAATCCTTGTTCATCATTTGAAAGATGTATTGAAGAAAGTTCAACATTATATACTTGTCAAAGTATGGATGAACCATGTAATGATAATGAAATTTTATTAGAAAATACATTAGATTGTATTAATATTAATTCACCAACATGTCGAGACTCATCAAATACTGTAACATTTGATGGTTATAGTTTTGTTCGTATGAATATAACAATGAATCTAACTCAACATATAAATACAACTTTTACATTTCGTACACAAGTTTGACAAGGAAAATTAATAAAATTAATAACATATGATGAGAATAATTAACAACATTTATTAATTATTCAAATAAATGATGGTTATATTAATTTTCAATTAAATAAAAAAAAATTCTTTTTCAATTTAATGAAATTATAATAAATAATAGCTCCTGGCATCATAGTTATTTTTCTATAGATTATACATTGAATGTTGATAACAATAATAATTATTACTATTATCATACTCGTCTTATTTAAAGGTTCATCCGTACTGATGTCAACTCATATAATATTTTGAACATTATAGTGGGAGAAAAAAAAAGGAAAAGATGGTATTGGCGATACCAACTTACACAGAAATATAGACTCATAGTTAACATCATCTTATAACAATTTAATAAGTTTAACTTGTGTTAATCTTTTATTTTGATCATTTGAAATGATTTCACCTCAGATGGATGAAGTGAGGATGATGGTGGAGATGAAAAAGCAATTTTTACCACATTCACTTTTTTGTCTGTCTTTCACTGTTGATAGGTTTGGTAAATTATCGAGATATTCAAGTGTTCTCTACTTACTTATTTTTTGATAATCGTATACGAAATATACGGCATTAGATCGCGGATCTAGATGATCATTATTCAGGCAAACTTCGATAGAGCATAAAAGTCGTTTGAATAATTTCTCGAAAGTATTGTTCAAACAAACATACCTTA